TCCTCTGCTCCCAATTGAATTAGCACAGTCTTGATTCATCTCAGGACTTCATTTTCATTCTCTGCTCTCTTCTTGCTGTGCCATATAATGAGCTTATTGGTGCCACTCCTGCTATTGCTAATGGGATTTTCAAGATAATTCTTCTGTTTGTCAAAATGAGAATAATCTGCATTAGTCAGCCTTGGCCAACTGGCCAAGTTCAAGTAGCTGGATATCTGAGTCCTGTATTGTGTCGTTTTCTACATTGTCCTTATCTAAATGAAGTCTAACATGGGGTCCCAACCATGGCACCAGCCAGTCAGCTAATTAGAGTTTTTTTGGAACTCTTGCTCAGACATGAATAATGAAAGGCAAAATAATGAAATAATGAAAGGCAAAACCTGTCAAAAACAAATGCAAGCAGGCAATACACCAGAGCCTGGAAGCCAGAAATTATTTCCAACATGTTGTGTTTTTGTAACAAGACATGTCTATATGAAAAGGGATCTTGCAGCACGTTTGAGAGTGAGAGAAAGAAAGAAGTTGGTAACATAAGCTTTCATAGACTTAAGACTACTTCCCCAGATGCATCTTAAATCTACAAAAGCTTATGCTACCAAATTCTTACTTTCAGTTAGTCTCAAAAGTGCTACAAGATTCCTTTGCATACTGTTCCAGAGTACTGTAACATGCCTATCTCTTTGAAGACATGTCACAAATAAGATAATGGGCAAGACACCAGGTTTGCATGGCATAAATATCCTCAGCTAGAGTTATGCATTAATTGTACTAGGCAACTCCTTTATGGAATGGCAATGCTGTGCAACTGAAGCAAGAAATCAAATATGCAGCTGAAAGAACAAATGAATATGTGATGGGCATCCATTGCAATACAGATAGACATGAACAATGGCTCTGTTGCATAACTCCTTTGAATTAATTGTTATGACCAAATGACCAAACCCTAAGGAAGGGGCTATACTTGCTAGTTAAGTTGCTAGCTGTCCTGAATCCCATTTTGGGAGTAAGGTGGGATATAAATCCAATAAAATAATAAAATAAATTTCAGAAAGTGTGGGAGAGCTGAAGCTAGAGTATAGCTACATTTGCAAGGGTTACGGCAGGGGTAGGCAACTTTTCCCCTTTAAGAGCCGAGGGACTTCAGCTCCCAGAAGCCTCAGCCATGTTGGCCAATAGTCCCATGTTGGCCAATAGCTCCTGGGATTCTGGGAGCTGAAGTCCCTTGGCCCTTAAAGGGGAAAGGTTGCCTACCCCGGGTTACGGGGTAAGCCGTTTTCACCTTGAATAAGATAGTGGTGTTTTCAGTTATGTACATAGGAGGGAACAAAAGATTCACTTCTTTGCAGTAAAATGTATATATTGCATTTGTGTCTTGTTTTTTAAAAAAATACTTTCAGGTTGCATTCAAATTTGCAATACTACTGAGCAGCGGAAGCAGATGAATTCTGCAGTCAGATCCTCTACTGGCACCTCATTGGATGCATGGGACTTTTGGGACAGTGCATAAGTGTCAAATTTAATATACAATTTCATAGAATCATAGAGTTGGAAGAGACCACAAGGGCCATCCGGTCCAAACCCCTGCCATGCAGGAACTCAAAATCAAAGCATCCCCAAAAGATGGCCATCCAGTCCTCCAAAGAAGGAGACTCCTCTACGCTCTGACGGAGTGTGTTCCACTGTCGAA